GTCATTTCGAGCGCTCACATCATGAGTATGACGTCATCCTAAAATACACACAAAAGTCGAGGTCGCAATCATTTCTTACGCTAAGAAACGCGGGGACGAAACGGATGGAGGTCAAGAAAACAGGCCAAGACCTCGTTCTCATTCAACTTGGACTCGAGGTTTGTGTCATTATGAGCTTGATTTAAGCTTGGGAATTACCTAAGACCTCAAGAGGCATCGTGTTAGTCAGTAAAGAACCTAAGGTTTCATTGCGTTCTAAATTCGAACCAACACCCAGGCTGATAATTTGGGTTGTACAAGAAAATTTTCTACAAATGATGGAAACGGAATTCGTCACAAACCAAGGTCGAGACAAAGGTTCCTTTGTATTCAAAAAGCACATACAAAACTTCCCCCTGGAGCCCTTACACAATATAAAGAAATTAAAGAGAACCTAGTCTATTGTCGGGGTCACTCGCTCAGAGGCAGCATCCACTGGAACTATGTCATCGGTGGTCTGACCTTCGGCAGCTTGATCCTCCCCACTCTCGAAGCCGCTGACAGAATCTTCACCAGTAGAGAGCAATACAGCTGCCTCTTTTTCCAAAGCCCTCACCTTCTCAATTTCTACAGAAAGGTCAAAGCCTTTGGCATGCACTTCCTCGAGAGTTTGCTTTCGAGATTCAAACCGAGCATGATTGAAGGCGCAGGATAACTTAAGCTCAACTGCAGCAGATATCTCCCTAGCCCGAGCATTGGTAGTTGTGGCATCGGTTCGATATAAAGACACGAACATATCGGCTTCGGACTTAACCTTAGACAACTCAGCGGCCGTCTTAGCATGATGCTCCATAAATTTTTGACCCTCCTCTTTTGCACTCTGAAGCTGGCTCTCGGGAGAAGCCAGCTATTCCCGAAGGTTGTCTTTTTTAGAGGCCAAACAATCCATACTTTGCTTCCACCCGAGGGTTACAACCTTTTGGTCTTAAGCTCCCCCCGATGTCGCTCCACCAAGTCGGCCTTCTCCTGGAACTGCAAAGGTGGAACATTAGCTGCCAAAACAAACAAGTACAAAATGCGCCCACAAAGGCTATATTACATTTTCAAGAAGCTTGGCCCGCTCTTGGGAAGCTTTCATTTAACTTTCTTGACGATCATTAAGGTCACCCTCTCTTTCAAATAGGGAGCCTTGAGTCTGTCCATCTCATACATAAGCTTCCTGAGCTCGTCTTCACATCGGACAAGCTCAGCTCGAGAATTGGATAAAGCACGATCAAAGAGCATCGCAGACAAAACACAAAGGAAAGAGGTTAGAAAAGTAGGAACCTAACTCTAAATGTAGCTGTCAAGTCAAAGTTTACCTTCTTTAGAAGCTTCTCGGCCTCCTCGAGGATGAACGAGACATCTAGGTCGGGACCCTCCTCGATCCCGGCAAGGCATTCGACAAAAATGGCATTCTCCCCATCGGATGTTCCCACATCAGGAGTCTTCATATCTAGGGCATCCCGTATCTACCTCTTAGAAAACGATAGGCCTGGTTGAGAGTCATCCACGTCAATCACCTCGAGCGGCTCAATCGCGGCCTTCTCCCGCCTTCGAGGAACTGCAGGTCTGGGTTATCTGAGTTCGCCGAACACGATCCCTTCAGGACGGGGCACTTTCTTGTCACTAGTCGGTTCGAGAACCTTGCTCGAGCTCCTGGGAACTTCCTCTGCTTGAGTGTGAACCACTTCGATGACCTCCGGCTTAGCAGCCTTTGCAAGATCGGTGCCTCCTCCCCACCAATGATTAGCAAGCGAACATCTTCGTGCTCGGCTTCATCTTTTTTTTCGTCCTCACCACGAAGATGTGCAACAGTTTCCGGGGTCAAGGCTGCCGTATTGGCCCTAGGTTTTCAAAGCTTGGTCTTTTTTGGCTTTAGGGACTCCGCCAGCGACCCTTTCCTTTTCTTATAGTCCTTGGTAGGTTTTTGGGTCTCTCCCTCACCTGGTGGGGGCAATCTCACCGAAACAACATCTCTGAGGCCTGCACAAGCATAAAGTTTAGTGTATTGCTGAGAAGTATTTCACTATGAGATTTAATATGCGAATCATAACGACTCACTGTGGTTTTTGGCCTCCCATAAGCCTTTGGCCAAATCGCGCCAGACGCGCTCGACATATGTGGAAATAGAGGCTAGTTGCTGAACCCAGCCTAGGAGGTATGCAACCGCACCTGGATACCAATAAACGGCTGCAGGAGTTAGTTCAAAGGAAAGGGAAAATGTCTAAGTAACGAAACATGCTCGATAGGTCTGTACTTACGCTTCGTATTCCATTCCTCGGGGAACAATATCTTTTCAGCGGGAATCAGGTCGGAGGTCCTGACTTGAACGAAGCACCTCATCCACCCTCGGTCTTTATCCTCATCGATGCTAGACTTTGGAGATCGACGTTGCAATTTTATTAGACGACCTCGATAGAGACGAGGGCTATATAATCTGATCAGATGGTCGAGGGTAAAAAACATCCCCTCGACTTTGCTCAAAAAGTACCTAATCAGGTGAACAATTTGCCAAAAAGAAGGTTAAATTTGGCCGAGTGTCACTTGATATTGTCGGCAGAAATCGAGGATCACTGGGTCTGGAAAGGGCGAAGAAGGATCTATTGGACCTAAGGTAAATGGGTATGTGTATACGCTTAGGTACCCCGCTTTGCGATTAGTAATATCCTTATCAGGTGAAGGGATCTCCATGTGCACTTCATCTCCCCAAAGGCATCTGCCTTCACTTGTTTGAGTTCGGTTATTAGGCTAATATACGAGACATGGGTTCACATCGTCCTGGAACCAACGCAGGCTTGACGACCTTTAAATTGGAAGATATATCACAAAGCCCGGGGGTAGATTCCTTGATGCTAGGAGGTACTACCATTTTTCTCTTCGACGGGCGTGAAGACAAAGAGGCTTTCTCTTTTTGTGGAACTGCCTTAGAAGTTTTTGCCATTTTTTATTGTGAAAATTCAAAATAAGGAGAAGGTGCTAGTTAAGAAATTGGCACAAGGAAGGAATACGTGCACAAAAGATTTGTAAAAGTAAAACTTTGAAGAATGAAGGATTGAAGTATTTATAGAGGCTGACTAAGTGTGTTGGAGAAACTAAAAGGACGACCAATATTCGTCTTTCATTAAAAGCTTTTCGAAAATTATGTAGGGGTAACTTTTGCCTGACTTTTTAGTCACACAGACCGCTCACGTCACTAGACTGACATCATGATCGGGACATCGAAGGGGCAAAAATCAGATCGTTTCTTATCTTTTCATTCTAAGAAATGCGGGGACTAGATGTATACAGTCGAAATTGGAGAGCTCGATTTAAAGGGCTTAAAGGTATCTCGGGCTCGAGTTTGGGCAGCACGAAGTAAAGACCAGATCTGACTAGAAAATGCACACCTCAAGGGAGCAAATCGGAGACCATCATGTTCTACCTCGGTGGCAGTACAATTTCGATGACACTCAAGAAAGAGCGGAAACTTCTCAAGGACACGTGAGTCAGGGTATAAATTATAGGATAAGATTTGTACGAGATAGTATGAATCCGTACTAGGTTGTTATACAACTGTACCAATAAAATTCTTTACCATAATTGGGAATGTACTGTATTGGGGTTTTCCTCTCCTATATAAAGGGGACCCCAATCATTTGTAAAGATGACATCATTTCACTGCAATAGAATATTCTACTCTGCTTTTCTCGTTCACCGTGCTCTACTATTGTCCTTGAACTTTATTGTTTTTACTTTATTGTTCATACTTTATTGGCTATTAACTCACCTCTAGGCTCCCGAGGCAGTCGAGCATGAGGTCCCCGTTGCTCTAACAATGCTGGTTTGGACTAGTACTGATTTCAAGCAGCAATATATACCCAGATCTATTAGCAAAGGCCACTTGTGAAAGTACACTATTGCAAACCTAAAAATTTCTTGAAATGGCAAAATGTTACTAAGTAGTTGAGAAAATCACAAACCTTTACCACTAAAATCAGCTTAGCTAGCTTGAAGTATCCGTGACAAATTAAGTTACTTCGACACCATAGCTTTGGTATAAGAAATTTAGAAAAGTTGTTACTTTCACCCGGCAAATGGAGAAGCGGATTGAGAATTTGAACTTTATGAGTTTGAGATTGAGATTCTATTGTGAGCACGTGATTTTTGCCCTATATGAATTACTCCCATAAATTCAAAATAAAATAATTTTTTTCCTTAGTTTGTGATTTTGTGGATTTTCGTGGCATTTTCTGTAATTGTTTGCATTTGTCTGTGCATGTTTATTTTATTTAAATTATGGAAAATACAAAAAAAAAATATGTGTTGCATTTTTGCATTTAGGAATAAATTTTGCATTTTTAAGAATTAATTAAGTTGCTTCACAAAAATGGAAAATCAAAAAAAAAAATATAGTTTATTGTTGCTTTTTAATTTTAATTTTCGATTTTTGGTAATACTCCCTTTAATTTGGTACTTAACTTAGTTGTGGTAGTTATAATTTAGAGTTGATTAAATTAATTAGATAATTTGGATTAGGAATTAATTTAGGTTTATTTTTAGTTTTAAATTAAAAGAAATTAGAAAAATTGGAAAAAAGAATAAGAAGAAAGCAAGATTGGGCTGCCTGATTTAATTTTGCCCAAGCACAAACAAATCCCGTCCCAGTCTGGCCCAAACCCATGCCCCAACCCGGTCCAAACGGTCAAGTCCCCAGACCAACGAAACGACGTAGTTTGGGGGCGTTACTGCGTCGTTTCAAGTTCATTAATGTTAAACGATCTGAGCCTTTCATCCTTCTTCATCCAACGGCCAGGACGTAAACCCCTTACCCGCCTAACCGAATCTGATCCGTTTCATCCAAGACCGACCCAGTCTTTTACCGAAAGAAAGTCGTTCCTGTTATGTGATTGATCCAAGCCGTTGATCTCATTTGATCGAACGGCCTGGATTCGATCCCCCCTCCAGTTTATAAGTCCCTAACGCACCCCAACCCCCCCTCATCGTCTCTCACTAACCCTAGAGACACCCCGGTCTCACACCGCCTCACACCACCGTCCGCCGCCTGCCGGAAATCGCCCACGGCGGCGGGAAACCACCAATCACTCCCAAATTCACACCATAGATTCTCCTTCATCTCCCCGTTCCGAATCATCAACCCGTTACCTTCGAATCATCTCAGAACTCGTCGAATCATCGATAGAAGTTCGGACCCCTGAACCCTAACTTACCCAATCGACCCCAAATTAACACCCTAGGACCCCTTCCCTTCCCTTATACCAAATCCATCATTAGTTTCCCTCGAATGTATCCAGAGCTCCTCGAATTTCAAATCCGGAGTTCGAAGCCTAAAAAGCCTAAAATCATTTTTTCATCGAACCGGGCGGCCTGCATGACAATAGGATGTTGTTAAGTGTTGATTCGATGAAACTGATGTTGATCAGTTGTTCTTGACAAAGAACAAATGATTAACCTTAGTTTCGTTAAATCACTGAATCTGGTGGGATTTGATTTCTATCCGGTAAGTTTCTTCACCTCTTTGTTTCACTATCTTACTTTTTCCTCTTTTCCTCTCCCTTTCTTTAGTTAGTTTTTTATTACTTTGAATGAAATTTGAGCAAAGTCCTGAACTTAGGATCCCTTTAGATTAATTTTGTGTTCAATGTTCTTCTCAATTCTTAAAGGCTTTCTTTCTGATTTCCAGTAGTCTGCTTAGTTTCATTAATATCATGCTTTAAACTTCTGATTTCGCTTTTCGTTTCAATCACACAGTTTAGTTTAATTAGGTTGATTTAATAACTTAGTAATTCCAGGCCTATTTGTGTTGTTTAATCAGTAATTAGTGTAGGTTCTAACTTTTGGAAATCAGTCAAGCGATTTTTTTCTCCTTTGTCATAGACTACTGGTCTTGTTTGATTCATTCTTGATGTTTGGGAAGTTGAAGCCATTTCAGACCCCATTTCAAGAGGTCAGATTAGGTAATTGGGGCATAATTGAGCCTATGTCTAGCTAAACCATTGGGTTAACTTGACCCATGAGGTTTCTGAGTTAATTAACAGGGGTATTAAGGGGTAGTTTGATGTTTGTTTATTAAAAAAAGAGGTTTGTACCTACTTAAGAAGCTTCTAATAAGTGGTAGGGTTAGAAATGCGCAAAATGTTTGAGTGGAGATAATTAAAAATAGAAAAGGGGATTTGTAATGGAAATTGCACTTACTTGATGCCTATTTAGAGGTTAAAAAACATAAGCTAGAACAGACAGAGATATAGATAGAGAAAAAAACATACAAGATCACTCTGAAAATATTGGAAAAGAAGAAAGAATTCTGAAAATACTAAAAGGGAAGACCTTAAGGGATAAAAATCCAGAGAAAAACTGCAAACGGCTGAAAGATTTTGACAGAAAAAAATACTGTTCTATCGAGGTTTATGCGTTAAAGTTTAAGGTCTTCACTTTCTGAATTAACTTCTGCTATTTGGGGTCGAAATGGTTTGAGGTCGAGTCATTCAAGCTTGGTTTGGTGTTTGCTGGGTTGTTGTGTGTTTAAAACTGATTCCTGGACTGCTGTATAACATTTCCTGGGCCTAAAAGTGGTCTTAATTGGTGCTGATTGTTGTATTGCTGCCGCTGATTCTTTACCCTTTTTCTTTGTTCCTTCAATATCCAGGTATGCTCTTGAAATTGTAATGGAGTTGAAGCTTGACTGAATGTGTGTAAGGATCTGTGAATACAAATCATAATTGAATGAAAACAAATCAGTTCCTGTTATAACTACTGTGTAATTCAGTCTTATATTGCTCATATTTAGTTTAGCATGCTGTGGATATTTATCATGAAATACAGTTGGTTTTAGATGCTAGATCTAGATTTCATGTGAGTATGAGAGATTCATGTTTTAGACTTGGTAAGACATGTAATAATTATGGATTGTGATCTGTATTTTTACTGGCTGAAGTGTTTGATTTTAATCCCATAGTCATGGGTTTTCTGTTGATTACAATTATGAGTTACTGAAGTAGTTTTCCAACAATTATGCTAAATTCTTGTCCTTGCATAGCCTTAGAGTTTGGTTTGAGTGCTTTTTGTGAATGTCGTAAGCTCTCTGAGAATAAGAGAGGTTCAAATGGAAGTTGATTGGGTTCTGATCTTTTGAAAGTTTCATTTTAAGTTTTGTTAAATGCCAAATGATGGTTTGTGAAGTCATACTGATTTATTATGCGAAGTTTGGCAAATACATTTAGTTAAAGGGTGTAATTCAGATTCTTACTGTTCGCTTAGATTAGCCTACAGGTTCATGACTTGTCAATCACATTCCGAGTAAATGCCTCACACAACATGAAATTGTCTGGGTTTTTTTTTAAAAAAAAATTAATCCCAAAAATCTGAACTAAGCGTGATTATTTGTTGTTTACTTAATCCTGAGTTTCCAAAGTGCTTATATGTTCGTCCCTGTTAAGAATAGTTAAATCAGGAGGCTAATTGGTAGTTTACGTGTATGCTGCATGGGATCAATTTTAAGTCCAATAGGTGTATGCTCGATCTTGAGTCCCATCATTACAGTGGTTCACGTTTGCGAATTGGGCTTTCATTTGAAGCCTGTTTAAGCCATTGAAAATCAGTGGCTCAGTAACATTATGCAATGAGTTATTGGGCTCCCTTTTGGGGCCCAGATTTAAAAAGGGGGACGGACTTTTAGTTATTCTACAATTTATGTTTAAACTCTAGCATAAAAGGGCTTTTGAATTCCTTGAGGCTTTTTCTTGGATTAGTTTAAATCTTTTAAAATTAGATTGGAGGTGAGCCATATTAGATAACACAAATAGTTTATGGCCCTCAAACATTTAGCTTGAACTTTCTTTTAACATTGGAATTGAAGTGTGCCGTGCCAAACAAAAATGACAATTGCATGGCCCTTGTGTAATTAATTTTATTTTATCCTTAGAAATCGAGGCGCGCCATTAAGTGAAATTTCCATAGCCCTCGCAAAGTTGCAAACGCGTAGTTGCTTTAGGCGCGTTATTTTAATAATTTACCTTCCTAAACTCGGGTGCGCATTTATGTGACCCAAATTCAAATCCCAACAATGTTAGATAAAATGTGTCGAGGATCGCGGGTGCATTTACGTGACGCGGTTCAAGACATGTTTTAAATAACATTGAAATCTTTCTAAAAAAGATATAATTGAATAAAAGCGGCTATAAAGTTAAAAATGCACATAGGTTTGAAAATGTACTAAAATCAGATAATAAGCCAATAATAACAGTTGAGCGACCGTGCTAGAACCACGAAACTCGGGAATGTCTAACACCTTCTCCCGGGTTAACAGAATTCTTTACCCGGATTTCTGGTTCGCGGACTGTAATACAGAGTCATTCTTTCCTCGATTCGGGATTTTAAACCGGTGACTTGGGACACCATAAATTATCCCAAGTGGAGACTCTGAATTTTTAATAATAAATGAATCCCGTCTCGATTGTCACTTAAATTGGAAAAAACTCCCTTATCCCCTTTTGGGGTGTGGAAAGGAGGTGTGACAGCTCTGGCGACTCTGCTGGGGATAAGAACCCAGAACTCTGCTTTAGGGTTCAGAATTCGAGCTTGGAATAATTGTTATACTTGGCTTTGTTTATTATCTGATTTTTTTACGTGTTTGGGCCTAATGTGCGAAATGTTACTTTTTACCGCTTTAATAATATCTGAACTGTATATAACTGCTACGAAACCCTTCTCTTCTCATCTTCGGGGATGTGCTCGCTGGTCGAGACTCTCTATTTTGTTAGTGTCATACCTTAAAATAAGAAAGAGGCTCGGACAAGTTACTAAGCCGGATGGCCTTTTGGTTCCCGGTATGTAGCCCCCTCCTCGGCCCGAGTTGTCCGCTCGGGTACACAAGTCTAGAACAAATACCCAGGTTTTGAACCTAGAATAACTCAGGCTCATGCCGGATCCCTACTTGTGCACTCATTTGTTTCGGATTTGCATATTGACCGGCTTATAGGGGAAAAGTTGAGAAGAAAAATCAATGTGAGGACTGAGAGAGAAAATTGTCTGTTTTTGAAAAACCAAAGTCCAAAATATACTGAAACTCTGCCGAAATTTTGAAGAAAAAGAAAAGAAATTTTTATTGTTTTTTTTTTTAGAAAAAGAGGAAAAAAGTTGGTTTTTGTTTTGTCAAAATTGCCCGAACTACGCCACTTTGATTCTCACTAGATGTGGGATACGTAGGCAACCCCCATCGGGTCCAACTTCCCTTTTGCAAAAATAGCACAAAAAGAACCAATTCTTTTATTGCTTTGTTGTAAATAAGTAGGATGACGCCATTCTTGTCAAAATAAGCCGAATGTCCCCAAAAGGACGCCGGAAGGCTGTTTTTGCAAGAACAGCCACCTTTGGTCTCTTTTTCAATTTTGACTGGTAAGCAAGCACAGCCTTAAAATCTTCTCCCCGAAATGCTGAAAGTCCGTATTTGCAAAGTCAGGTTTATTTTTGAATGAAAATTTAAAAAAAAATAGTGTTAATTTTGTTTTTCTCTTGAGTCAAACGAGTCATCACCCTAATAAATGTGCAGAATGAGCACCAGTCAGAATTTGCCACTAACAGTCATGAACAAGATCCCCTTGGAGTTGTATATGTGGTGGGAAGATCTGGGTAAACATGGACCAGATAAGGTCAATTTCTACTTAGGAGGTCTCACCGGGTTATTGAAAATCAGACCTAGAGGAGACATCATAAAGGCGTTGGTTACGTTCTGGGACCCGGCACACAACGTGTTTCATTTCTCGGATTTTGAACTCATACCAACTTTGCAAGAAATAGACGGATATATTGGGAGCACTGAGGGACCTCTGAGACACAAGTATTTGGTTGCTCCAAGAGTCGTCGTTGTGCACAGATTTCTAGATTCCTTAAAGATAAGCAGCGGGGTCCACAACCCAGACTTGGCAGCCGGTTTTTCCACTCCGCAGTTTATATATCGGTGATACGGACACATAAGGGGGTTTAACAATCCAGAAAGCAAGATTTGCAGCAAAGGGAATCGCCTCAAATGGGAAGAACACAGGTGCTTTGCTTTTATGGTGGTATTCTTGGGTCTTCTAGTGTTTCCTAGGAAAGATGGGAATGTCGATATACGGATAGCTGGGGTAGTCAGCACTTTGCTTACTCAGGACAAAAGCACCCTCACACCCATGATAGTGTCTGAAAATTTCCGCGCTCTCACAGCCTGTAAAGCCGTAGGAGACTTTTTTGAAGGGTGCAACTTGTTGCTAAAAATATGGATGATTGAACATCTATGTCATCGGCCTTAATACATGAGCTATGGGTCGACAGAGAAAAGCTGCATAGAGGAGTTTTATACAAGGGTTGATGGGTTTAGCATGCCAGAAGGGGTCACAGAATGGATATCACATCTCCGTTCCATCACTGCAGATCAAATAGAATGGACATTCGAGTGGCTTCCTATAGATGAAATCATATACATGCCAGCTACCGGGCCGCACTTCCTCCTGATGGGTCTCAGAAATATCCAGCCTTATGCCCCATACCGGGTTTTGAGACAGCTAGGGAGATGTCAAATAATTCCAAAGGATGAAGACCTTAGTGCTAGGGTAATCGAGATTGGTCCTGATGGTTAATTTCCTGAAGCAACAGTTCGCTAGGTCTGGAGCGAGTGTCAATACTTAACAGCAAGCACCCAAGTACGTGATTTATCCAAAGGTGAAGTTTCACTAGGGTACCTTGCTTGGTACAGAAGGGAAGTTGAGTTTGGAAGGCCGGCCAAAAGACCCCATGTTCAAGAATTTGTTGAGGCGTCACAGGCACAATGGGATTGGTTGGCCAAAGAAAATGAATATAGGGCTACCATAAGCAAACTAGAAAAGCAAGTCAAGGACCTTCAATTCGAGAATGGTTTGCAAGCCGCCGTGGATGAAGGTGAGAAGAGAAAGCTAGCCAAGGAAAATAAGGCCCTTCGAGCCCAGATTCGGGACATGAAAACAGCAACGGAAAATCCCACCAGAAGTGCAAAAGATGGAAGGCTCATAGATAACCTTAGGCGGAAAGTGAGTAAGCATGGTTTTAATTTGAACAAAGCATAGGGTGAGTTAGCAAGGGTTCGAACAAAATTGGCTGAGAATGCGGAGGAACGAGCGCGCATGGTTAAACAATTAAAAGAGGAACATGACAATGAAATGGCGAGGTTGAAGAAAAGGGTCACCATCTTCGAAAGCAAAATGATCAAACAGGCGAAAGACTTTAAGGCAGAAAGAGGGCACTGTTATACAGCGATGGCACAATTAGAAAGAGATCTGCAACAACTCCAACAATAGAATCATATAGCTGAACAAACTTTGGAAGCTAGGGCCCGGCAGGTTGGGCGTTTGTTGCAAGAAAAGGGCGTCATAATAGAAAAAGCCAGAAGGATCGCCGACTACATTACAATGAAATGCAGTAGTTGTGAGGACATGACCAGATCCATGTTCTTCGCCACCGTAATGATCTTTGCCTGCCAGATAATGGAAGATCTCTACCACCTCCAAAGGGGTTTAGCGCGTAGGCCCGTGGCGAGACCGAATGATGCCCCACGGGCACCAGGAGCAGTTGAGGCATTGATGTATTCATGATTTTCGTTGGAGTCTGTCAGTCTGTTTCAAGTCTGTATTTTCATTTTTCTGTTAAAGTCAGTTAGTGTGTTTGCGAGTTTGTATTTTCATTTTTCCATCAGAGTCTGTTAGCTTCTTTTTCAAGACTGTTAGTTTGAGTCTTTATAATCAAAGCATTATTTTATGGAAAATTTGGAAATGTCAAAATGTTTTATTTTTATCCAGAACTACGCCAAGATCTGATTCATGCGGGGTCATGATACGTAGGCAATCTCCATAAGATTCGATCATAACCAAAAGAAAAAAAAATGAGAGAATAAAAAACAATGAGAAGTCAAGTCAAGAAAGGCATGAAAGAGAGGTCGCAATTGGAAATTAGGAAAAGCCGGGATGACACAAGCAGTCGAACAAATACATGATAGAAATGATTAAT